GCCACCACGATATAAGCATACGGCATAATCCTTTTACCAACACGGTGGCTGTGGTGGGTGGTCTCTGTTTCAGAAATTGTGTGTGCTCACAATGTAACAGGGTGGCGTCCGGCTCGCCACAGTGCTTGCAACACCTGTTTGCATAGTCATTTATTTCTATAATTTCCCATGCGCAGTGGTAACCTAGTCTGATTCTATTGATTGTTGCAGAGAGTTCCAATAGTCATAGCCTGTGACGTCTGAGTACTATCTGGCCGAAGGGGAGGTTCTCGTATCCTCTCTGTGAAACTGCAGGAGAATGGCAAGTACTGTGGCGTTGGACCTGTGCCTAAGATTTTTCAGCTTGGTTTGATGATCATGGGATTTGGGGGCATACCCCTACCAATGTCAGCCAGTCTATCAAAAAGTTAATTCCCTCTGATGCCTATATGGCTGGGGACCCAGTTTGTGATTATTATTCTACCCTGAGCACAGTGATCAGGAGGTTTGGGTATGCCGTGCTGTAGACAGCCTTAGAATCTGTATGCATGACCACATGTCCTTCCCTCAGGGACACGTAGAATAGGGCACCCATGAACGCAACTGCCTCTGCTTGTAGCGAGGAGGCATTGTCTGTTACCCTCATGGATTTTGTGACATCCCTTGCTGCAAAGTCGGCGCTTGCAGTGTATGTTACAGGTCCGACTGATTCATCCGTGAAGTAAGTTCTACGACCTGGTGGAGTGATGGCTGCGGTTTCTGCCTTCAGACTAGGCATGGGGTACTGGTTCTTTCTCCTTGGCAAGCTCATGACAGAAAACTCGATCACGACGGAGCTTCAATACAGTCAGGGTGGAGGGAGTCCATTCCCTTAGCAAGTAATTGTTCCCTGAGCTGATAGCGTATTAACACCCTGGCTGTGCATGACAGCCAGGAGTTGTTTGCAAAGAACTCATAATCTTGTTCTGAGTATTTTTTGCCTCATGCTTGTGTTCCTGGGTGCCTGGATGACCTTTGAAAGGACCTGAGCTGCCATAGATAATTTCGGAAGTCCATGTGAAAAAAGTTTGCTTCCATGAGGAGGTTGAGGACCTTTGTCCACCTGGCGCTCGCCAGGTGTAAGGGTGGCCCGGTGGCCAAAAGACTTACATCATTCCAGTCACTTTTCCCGCCTGACTCTTATGGCAGTTTCCTTGGCATCCCTGACAATTTCACTTAGGAGAGCTAGACTGACCTGCGGTTGACTTCCTTTATCTCGTCATTTAACTCTTGGACCAAGGTCGTATTTTAGGTTCGCATTATGGCACTGATAAGTCTGGCTTCAAGCATATCCACATTTTCACTCTGTGGGGGTTCATTGCATCTAAGACAGTGGGCCAAGGCATTTTGAAAGGCATGCCAGGTGTCCTTGTCTGTTTTCCATCTAGGATTGTGCTGTGGCATTGGGGGTGGGCCAGTATCCGAGAAGGTAGTAACAGCGCCATAGTGGTCATCTGTAACAGTCTCATCAACACACCATCTGATTCTCTCCACCAGAGCTGCAGTGACCAAGGTGAGGTCCAGGAGCGCTCCCTTGATATACTTTGGCTCTAGGGTATTGAGAAGAGCGATCTTGGAGAATGTCTCAAGCACATTGGCTATATGATAGCCTGTCACATCTGTCCCCCTGCAGGGAGCCAGAATGGAGTAGTGTGGATTGAAGTCTCCCCCTATGATCACTCGGTCTTGTGCTGTAGTAGCACAGACCTGGCTGATGTATAAGCTCCTACAGCCTGGCCTACTGTACACATTGTACAGCTTGCCAGTTGAATCTCAACAGTAAGAGATTCAACATCGTCTCCACAGTGCGGTGCATCGGCTATTGCGGAGCAGGGGATTGTTGTTTTGACCAGCATGATCAAACCGCTGGTGCCAGCTGTGCTTGGCAACATGAAGACCTGATACCCTGAGAAGTAAACAGTCCCCTCTGTTAATGTTTCTTGGAGCATGACAATGTCAGTGTTCTTTGATCGCACTTTTTCGTGATGGATGATATTCCTTGTATTGAAGCCATAGATGTAGTAGTGTGCTTAGATTGTGTACCATGATGCTACTTGGTGTTAATTGCATCTGAAACGTCTTTGTATTCGGATTCAGAGTCAGTTTCCCCATCAATGTTGGTATCTGATATGTCGGAGTCTGACAACTTCATTGTGAAGTCCTCGCTGATTGAGGGATCTTCATCTGTTTTAGGGCTATTTATCAGGCTATCTATGAATCCACTGGGAGGTGGAGAGCCTTTGGTAGCTCTGGCTTTTGTTTTTGTTTTTCTCTCAGGCTTTGCCTGTGTGTTCCTGGCCTTTACTGGCTTTACCTGGGTAAGCTCAGCCTGCTCTTGGGTGATTTAGGGGGATATCACTGGGGATTTCCCCTAATTCTGCCACAGTGGGCATTTTAATGTTTTGGACCTCATAGATTGACAAGAGGAAGGAGCTGTAGTGGAGGGTGCCGATGTTACTCTCTGGGGAACTGACTGGGGCTCCAGTTTCTGGGCTTCAGCAGGCCGAGGCTCCAGCATCTGGGATTTAGCTGGCTGAGGCTCCATTGACTGAGCCTGCATAGGTCGGGGCTCCGCTGCCTGGGCCTGTACATGCCGAGCCTTTGGCGCTTGGGGCTGTGAATGTTCAGGCTGGGCCTGAACCGTCTTAGTTGGGGGTTTAACGACTTTCAGCATGCCCCAAGAGTCAGATTCCACGAGGTTGAGGTCAGGAAGGTTGTTTGCTGCCAGCGCTACCCTGGTATGATATCTGAAGCCCTCTTCAGGGGCTATGATATTTTGCATGTTGAGCATGCAAGAGGGCTACGAGAATCTCTTTGGGGAGGACATTAGGAAAGAGAAAATACTGACCATACCATACCGTGTTGGTATTTGATGCCAGATGCATTTTCTTAGTAAGAGTATAAAACACGAGTGAAAATGAGCTAATTATTTATCTGAATGAAATAATAATTTTCGTCTAGAATTCGGTTAAAATCTGCGGCAATTTAACATCGCGTTTTAGTCGGTGTGGCATCTTTTCTCTGAAAACAATACAATATTTTTTCGACCGATAGCAGGTTAACAAAATTATTTGGTAATTAACAGGTAGATGTGGATAATTATCTGCAATGACACTTTGAATTAACCAGTTTGATATTATTGTTACCCTTCGCATTTGTGTGGGACTTCTATCTTATCTTCTGATTTTCAGTATGAACGTCAGGACATTTTTGAGAAACATAACACTGTAAAATGTAATGAAAATACTGACATTTGATGAACTTTGTGCTTTAGTGTCATTTAATCACTCTAATGACCATCCGATCAGTATCATCAGGCAAGAGTAAATCTAGTCTGAATTTAAAGATTCAGATGAACCGGCAGTAGGCAGGGAAGGGAAGCCATTGATAAGGAAGGCTCGCGTCATTCATACAGAAAGAGGGAAAGTATATGAATTTAATGCAGAAAGTTTAAGGAATGGAGAGAGATCAATGAATGAAAGAAAGAGGGAATGAAGGAGAGGTTGAGAGAAAAGAAGGGAGAAAAAAATCATAACGAGAGAATAGAAGGAGAGAGAGAGGGGATGAATGTGATAAAGTGACTGAATAAAAGAATGAAAAAGACAAACAAAGAGAGTGACTAGATAAATAAAAACGAATGCAAGAAAATAATGTTGCAGAAGTCTCTAGGGTGTTGGAATGCCTATTCTGACATCATTAAGGTATCCAACATTTCTCTTAAAAGTTTATATTTTCATTTTTTTGAGGAGTCGGTGTTATTAAAACTGCTCCTCAGACTTCATTGTTGAACAGATTTATCATATGATACTAAATATGCATTTTGACAAATACCTGTCAACTGATTCTCGACTCTGGTTATCCCTTTTAAGTTCAATGGGAAAACATAAATATCAAACAGGATATAGTAAGATAATGCAAGTTTCAATAATGCTGGTTGTATTACTTGTGGAAGACATCTTGTAATGTTCACATGACAACAAAAGGACCTCAAATTATACAAAAAGATTGGTCTGCAGAAATAGCCACCAAAAGGAGCTCCTGATGATCTATTGATGTACTGAATTAGATCAGTATTCTAGTACAGCGAGTTAATATAATTGCTACTTAAAATGCTAACAGGTTTATAAGAAACACACAAATTCTGATCACATCTTCCCTTCTTACATTATGTGTTATTTCAGTATAGAATGTGGGTTGGATATCAAAATACAAACTTAACCTCAGATTCTTAGCATGGCTTAGGACCGAATCAGTATCACTCTTGCGACTATGTGTACCAAATTTGCCAGAAAAAATCAGGGAATTTTCTGGGCAAGATCTCAGAGAACCAGAGAGAGAACCTGAATAACAATATTCAAGTTTGGTTATGTGTTGAGTCTTTTATATATAGTTGGTTGGCTATCTGTAATGGCAAAGCAGAATAATCCTGATACAGGAAGACTTTTGCCAAGGTGGCTAAAACTAAAACCGTTCATGTAAAGGTCTTTAGGTGCCTTGGATTATGAGAAACACCATTATTCTGAAGCCTGTGAGGGCCAATCAGGATATCTACATATCTATGATGTTCTAAGGTGTTAGATGTAATTACCCACACTAGATTTCAGTATTTAAACTATTCTTTTGCAGGTAGAGCCAACAATGCCATATCTGCTTGGAATGTGATTTTATAATAGCTTATGATCTAAAATAATTGCCAGCTTGGAGATCATCTGATACTGCTAACATGTCTGACACATAATTCAAAACTTGTACCCTTTGACATTCTAACTTTGGACAAGATTAGTACACCCAACTAACTGCCAAGACAGAAGACTATAATATAATATCAGGCTTGCTGATTGTTTGTTGTTAGTTACCACAATGTACATGGTAATGAAAATGCAACTTTCTACTGTGGCAGATATATCTAATGTTGATATATCTACCTTTCATCAAATTAGCTAAAAGGTGTATGCAAAAGATTCATGAAATGATATACTGTATATCTCAACAGCTTTATTTTACAAAATGTACATTTGGACTAGACATATTGGAAAGATTTTAAAAATCATAAACCCGTTCAAATAAAATGACAAGCTCAGTATGGCTGGTATGTGGGAACAGATCTACAGGAACTGCATATCTTGGCGTGAAAGGTGCAGATTTGTCCCTTTTACTTGCAATACCACGAGTTGAACCAAGTTTGACAAAGTTTTCCATTGCAAAGCCTTCAGGTTTGCAACTAATGTATACTAGTTTGTTGATGGCTTCACACTGTCGGATTCCTCTAATGACATCTGGATCTGCAAAGAATATATTGTAGACTTCATACTTATTGCTAACAATTCAAAACTGAAGCAGACTAACTAGTAACAATGTCAAATAAATGTTCATACAAATAAAGGATGTACTTTACTAATCATTGTTCTAACATATGCCAACATAATCAAAGCACTTTCTTATTTGCTGATTCTGTTTCTCTGTCTGTCTGTATTATCTTGCTCACTAGCTTAGAGAATAAATATAAATACTTACGTAAACCTGCCCGTGCAGGGTTCACAATGGCCACCACATCTGTGCAGTCAGAGAGTTCACTGATAATCCTAGGTAGAACCTATCAATTCCATAAAGAGACAGAAAGTAAATAATTTCTCAGGCATTAATAATCATGTTAACTTAGTGCCATCCATCAATAAAGTATTGTATAATCCATATCACATATAAATACAGTATTTTGGCTATCACGTAGCAAGCTAACCCATGATTATCATCATTTGCTTTACCTTTTCTGCTCTGCCTGCTAAGAAGGAAGCATTTTCCACATTGTTTTCTTTGGCGTTCCTCCTCGCATCATCCACAGCACCAGTGACAACTTCAATACCCACAGTCCCTCTGACATGTGGTGCCATAACCAGACTTATAGTTCCTGCAAGTGCATTTATGGTTGATGAATCTCTATAAAATTACAATTTGATACTGAATCAAAAAGAAGAAGAAGAAGAAGAAGAAAAAAGGTCTACGGATTAGGAACTACTATCAACATCATTTCAAACAGTGATTTGGCAATGATTTTCCTTTTTCCTCATTCAAACTTACCTGTTCCACAACAGATATCAAGAAGGGTTGTTATAGGAGAGACTTCAGCTATCTCCTTCACTGTGTTATATAATGTTTCGGCTCCTTTTGTGTTTACCTGCAACAATTTTTTAATTCATAAAGATTTTGTGTAAGACTTATGGAATGGAAACCTATTTTACATAACAACAACTCACTGATATATTCACTGGCATCTCTAATTGTATCTGTATAAATATAATCACACATTTTGCTTCATTAGTACACATTTTATGCTAAACTTTGCTTTAAAGCCTCATTCTTATTCATTCTCTGCATAGTGTAAACAGTTTAAGACAAGCAGTCTTTACCTGGAAAAATGAATCAGGTGAGATTTGAAACTTCAAATCCTGGCAGGTTTCTGTGATGTATCTCTGCCCTCCCACTAGTCTGTAAGGAGCTTGTTCACGAGTACATCTGGTGTGCTGGCTGTAAGAAAATATATCATTACTCAGTGTAAATGTAATCTTAAATAGAGAAGGAAAATCATGTCTTCTATTAACATATAAAGAATATTTTTTTTATAGGGAATGCTTCTGAGTAAATTAATCAATAAAGTATACCTATTAATTATTTATGGTTATCAATATGATTTAGCTGCAGAATGAGTACTAGTGTATATATTAAACATTTGGACTTATATATTTCATTATGAAATAACAATCTCTGCAATCATTGTCATATGAAAATTTTAGCTAATTAACTTACAGGTGACTTGTGTTTACAATACTATACTGTATGTGAAACAACCAATTCTGTGGCTATCTAAACTGCAGATGTGTTCATTCTCAAGATTCACCTCTCAATAAATCCAACTTCTCTAAATCCCCTTCCTCTCACACAAATCATCCCTGATATAACAAGTCTCCTTTTGCATAACCACAACATACCAAGCTTGTAAATACAAGGAATCCAGCTCGTACTCAGACCCCTCTCCATCAAAGTAGTACTTCCTCAGATCTTCCATTATCTCCTGTATGCCATCCTCTCCAAGCTGCTGTGGATGGATGACGACCGTGGCCATCTTTTCCCCACTCTGGGTTGACCTCACAACCAAGTTCCTCCATACCCCGCCGGTGTCAAATCTGTGGCAAGCTTCATGGCTTGACTGGCGGATGAAGTTCTGGAAACTCTGTGGAAGCAAAAGCCTTTCTTCACAACATTCATATTATTCAATTCCAGAACCTTATTATTTTTCTCCAGCAATATAATCATAGCAATACTCAATAATGTTGGTGTTTATTTACCTCAGCAATTTGCTTATGACTATCTCGCATATTGATCAAGAAAGCCTTTCTTCACAACATTCATATTATTCAGTTCCAGAACCTTATTATTTTTCTCCAGCAATATAATCATAGCAATACTCAATAATGTTGGTGTTTATTTACCTCAGCAATTTGCTTATGACTATCTCGCATATTGATCAAGAAAGTTGGTGGCACACAAGTCATCAGGGGATCTGTGGGTCTGCCAATGAAAAAGCCAACTGTCTTTGGGTTGCCGTCTACACCAAAATGAATTCCAAACTCATCCTTGTTCCTGTAGGCGAGCACTTCTGGCTGGAAATAAATTGGTAAATATTATATATATCACAAAACTATAATTGCTATCTTTCTTTCTTTTTTTTTCTTGTTATTCTGTCAAGGGAATCTGAAATTGCACAGAACACACACACACACACACACACACACACACACACACACACACACACACACACACACACACACACACACACAAACACACACACACACACACACACACACACACACACACACACACACACACACACACACACACACACACACACACACACACACACACACACACACACACATATATTACATTAAAAAAAAAAAAAAAAAAAAAAAAAAAAAAAAAAAAAAAATCAAAGAAATTTTTCAACAGACAAGCAAAAACAGACAAAAACTTACTGATGGTCGAACTGGTTCTAAAGGGCAAGGAAGTCCCTGAAATGTCTGTTGTAAGGGAGCTCGTACATCAGTCAAACGCCTTTTCAGGACTTTTAGGGCTTGCCTCATTTCCTGGGCCTTCACATTTAATTGTTTGTGATATGGTATCTGGAAAAAAAGAAAAAAGAAAATGTATAAGGGTACGAGCCTGAGTAACTTCACAACACAAGGGATATGAAGAATACACTTCAATTAAATGTCTATCAGAAATACATGTACTGCCCTTGAAGATTAGACTGGAAAATGTGTTACATCTCTAGCACTGTACAGTCATTCAATCTCATTTATGCTTTTCTGTACTTATGTCATAGAGTAAATTACTATGCACATCAATGACAGTATAAGCAAAATAATTTGAAGATGTTGAAATAGGTATAGAAATCAAGATTACAAGAAAATTTCAATAATAGTACAAAACAATTTACATAATAAATATAAAGTTTTTCTTTGACAAAAATAAAGCATAACTGTAGCAACAACAACAACAAAGTTATATATATATATATATATATATATATATATATATATATATATATATATATATATATATATATATATATATATATGTATATACAAAAATTATACCTGGTACAGAGGAGTGACAACTTGAGCCAATTTTTCATGTTGGTTTGTCTCGGTAATAGGTGCAGTTAGTGGTCCAGTTACACTAAGCTAAAGAGTGAACCAAATACATTTCATTAAATAAAAATACAATAAGTTATACACATAAATTACAATTTTACATCTTGTAACTGCATAATTAAACAAATCTTCCTCAACCTCTTATAAAGCTGTAGATTAGAATTACCTGTTTCAATGGAGCAGCTTTACTCTTTGCTTTAGGAGGGGGTGGCCTTTCACTCTGATTTGCAGTCTGCTTTGCTAATGTTTGTAATACTTCTTCTGACAGTGGAAGAACAACTTCATGCTTTGAAGCTTCTTTTCTCACTCTTGCAATGCTGAAAAGAACTAAATATTATTTATTCTATCTCATCATAATATGACTGCAGAAATTAAAAATAATCAGTAATAGAAATAACATAACCACATGCAAAATACTCAACAAACAACTGTATGGCTTAGTTTATAATATGCTCCTACATGGATTGTTTAAGGTGAGGGTGTATACCTTGTCTGCATTGTGCTCCAAAGACTATGCTTTAATGAAGAGACTCTTTATGACCATTCCATAAGGAACACACACTAATTAATATAATTGTAAATAGAAGCTGCAGTGAGCAGTCTACTCTGAGTAATATAAACACAAATAAAAGAATAAATAAGTAAAACCTACTCCCTGTTCCACAAATCAACATTTTGAAAAATATAAGCCTGATATACATTACATAATCTATGTTACAATGAAAATCTTTAACCACAAAGAAGAATAACATGCAATTTATTTAACCAAGAAGTACTTGCCTCGCTGGCTGCCTCCGAATTCCTCGGGTGAAAGACAGAATTGGAAGGTATCGGGTGGTAAATAAACTCATTTTTCACTGGTTCCTCTTGCTATTCATAAAATAAGAAAAATCTTATGATGTCTGAAGCCCATGGACTTTGTTCATTATTTTCTGGTATGTATCTGGGGAAATAAAATCTGTTTTATTATCTATTATTATATCTGATGACATACTGGTATGAGAAAACAAAGAGGAATCTATTATACTATGACTAATTCCAATAAAGTCTCAATGGTCTTTTTATTCATTCTGCTCCTCTACCAGTTTACTATGGTATTACATTTGCCCCATGCAGACAACAGGAGTACTGGTAACTACAGCTCATTTAACTTAAAAAATCATTGAAATCTGTCTTAGAAAAGGCAAATACAGAATGAGGAGGTAACAAACATGGGATACTAAAGAAAAAAAGATAAAAAAAGAAAGAAAGAAAAGAAGATATGGCTAGACTATAATACAATAAATTTTATATCTGACTTATGCTTCTCTTTTTGTGCTAATTTGTCATTATTTTCTATAGATGATTTTTGTTCATAATTTCTAATCAATCTATAATGCAAATATTGATAATTTAACAGGAGATAATTGAAAAACAATATGACATATTTCAGTAATGATAACATCTTAAAAAATCACATAATGGTTTACATGTCACAGACTACATATTATTAGATGGTATACCTCTCTAACATCACTGTATTACCTGTATTGTATCCTCTTCCCTAAAATGCTGGAGGGGTTCCTAACAAAAACTATGATAGGCAAGTGATATCCTATGATCATCATGGCCTCCATACCTTTGACAGTCTGGCAAATGCCAATAAGCTTCCACCTCATGCACTCAGTACAGAGCCTGGAATGGTTCCTTGTTTGATGGCACATTCCCATGTTCTACCTTGCTTGAATATGTATATTTAATGAAGTTTTTTTTTGGCCTTTCAGTTGGGTGTTGTAGAGGTAATTATGATTGCTTGAGTTACAGTAGGTGCATATTTGATAAATGACTGTTGGCTTAATTTCACTTTCTGGTAGACTGTATTCAGTGCCTAACTTGTTTCCTTTTTTCTTTAAGTGCATTACCTTTTGTTTCTGTATCCCAAAAAAGTCCTTGTTTCGAGATTTACTTTAAAAATTCTTAGTATTCACCAGTTTAATAATCCATGTACTATTAGCCTTGGACTGTATGTATGCTCAAGAGTGTCTCTGCCCTCCTAAGGTCTGGGTTGCCCCCTAAATGACTACGAGTTTTAACTCTTTGAATATACACCAATATATATCTGATTACAGCTTAAAAATTCCACTAGAATAGCTAATTTTCCCATTTTTTCACTTTGCTTACCTACCCAACCATGACCCCCTTAAGAAAAAGCCGAAATGATGTGCAGTGTATTCACTGGAAACTAAGCCCCCAAATCCATTTCCCATATTTATTCAACAACCTAAGTGGCTGTGGCAAGGTGTGCCTTTGGGCACTGTACAAGGGGAGGGTTGATAGGGGGCTCTGCCCCTCGTCACACCCCAGGCAAATACTGTCTTTGCTTCTGCTGGCAGCACAAAATAGAACTAAAACTTAGGAGCACCCAGTGGACTTGGGCTGTGAGCAGTAGTTAGTGCATCCATACCATAGAGATTAACCAAAACCTTTGGCAAGTTATGCTGCACTACCAATAGTTAATCATCAACATAGCTTATCCTATCATACTATTTCAATCACTTTCCCTTTATCATTAAACTGTGACAACATCCACTGTCAATCAATTAGTTTGTTGTCTAATTCCATAACATTGTGCTTGGCAGTTGGCTAAATGGGTATATCCTAAAAATTGTAAAATCAAACATAGGCAACTTTTCTTCCCTAAGATATAATTCAGATTCAATGCCTGACTAAATTCTTTAAATGGTTAATGGTTAAAACAAATAATAGCATAGAGGTAGTTTAAAACATGATATGAGTGCAGAAAGTGTGACCGATACATAATTGGGCATGTTCAGTTTCCCAGTGTCTATTCTGACGGAACAGGACTGACCAGGGGGAGATGGAGAATTATGGTACGTAATTTGATGGCAAAGATTGAGAAAGACAATAATGAAGAGAGAGAAGACAAATGTTTTATTGCAAAGAGGTTAGCATGTAACTGTTTGAAATTCCTCGTCAAACAAGTTGGACAAGATGGATGAGATGTTTTGGCTATTCAGAACTCCTACTTTAGCATTCAGAACAAGCCGTCGTCTCATCCATATTATCTTTCCTCACAGCCGAATGAGCAGGATGAGATGACATCACAACAGCATTTTTTTATAAACAATGAGAGTTGTAGGTAACTATAAGATATTAGTAAGTAATTTTATGGGCCTTTACTGTTATTATCAAAGGGTATTTTAGTGTTTCTCAGTTGCGAGTAAGTTACCTGTATATCAGAGGAGTTACAAAACCTAAACTGCACGTAAGATAAAGACACCCGAATGATAAAATACGGAATTTTTACTTTTAAGCTGGTTGCATGATCGGCAGTGAGGGCCTTGGGCAAGATGGACAAGATGTTTCGACTGGTAGGGCCCCGACTTTTGAGTCCTGAACACAATAGCGTTTGTATGCAAACAATGGCAGTTGCAGGGAATCACAAGAAAGAGCCATCTGTATATACGTGAAAATGACTTTAAAGATACATAGGTATCATTAAATGAATGAAACTGGGAAATTCGCAGAAACGTGAAGCTACCGGTATGCCAAGTTGATTTATCATATCCGCATCATTACAGCACCTTTATCTTGTATTCTATCATCATCAAGAAGAACTTACTTCTTCCTTCTTTAAACAGCCGTTGTCATATCTCTAGGAAAATGCCTGTCCGACTATTTCTTCCCTAATTGTGGTCGCCCGTGGAAATCTGAGGAAGTCATTTGTTTACATTCCGCAGCACGTGCATTAAGG